GGCGGTGTCGGGGCTCCAGCCCGCGAGGACGGCGATCCCGCACCCTGCGCGGGCAGCCCGCCCGCCTGCTTCGCCACCCTCCTCCTCAACCTCAGCCTCCCTGGCTGCAGCTGGAGCCCTCGCTCCTCGCTCCTCGCTCTGCCCTCGGCACCGCCGGCAGCAGCCCGGCTCCATCCTCTTGCAAGCCCCCTCCAGGGACTTGGAGGCTGCTGTTCAAGCCCGCTGCGTTATTATGAAATCTGTGAAAGCTATGCAATTAAATCGCCGTGCCTCAGACCTATACGGAGGGGGGCCCTCGCAGTGACAACACGTGCCCCTGTGGGCAAGTTCAAACCCTGTCCCCCATTGTGTTTACTGTGCTGCCTGGTGGCCTTCGAGCTCTTCACACAGGGTATATATAGCATCGCCTGAAGACGGCTGGCACAATAAGGTTGCCTTCAATTTATACCGTAGATGCCGTCCCTGGAGGGGGGGCACAAATCAGGGTGACTGCCACAGGCCCCGTGCTTTGGGGGGCCCTGCAGAGCTGGCTCCACCCCCTTCCCCCCATTGCCAAATCTTCTGCTTGGTTTCTTGCATCCAGGAGCGGGGCCCCGCACAGGCTGTTTTGCCCTGGGCCACGCACCCTGCTTGGATCATCTCTGGTTCCTGGGGAACAGCACATACATCGAATTTGCACAAAGCGAACCCGGTTTACAGTGGAACAGATAGGGATGCCTTCCCGCGGCGGTGAGGGACGGAGTGAGACTGGGGCTAGGGAAAGTGCGGGGAGAAGAGTGTTTGCTGAGAGTCCTTGAGTCTACCCAGGGGTGTCTCGGGTCTAAAGGTGGTGAGAATCACAGGTCTAATGGTATTGCCAAGCCGAGCGTTCGGAAGTCACAAGTCAGTTCCCCTGCAAAACGCCATGTCAGTGTATAGATCTTTAAACATTGGAGGAGACGGCATTTACCTTCTGGTTACAGAGGCTTTTCTCTAAGACCGTTTTCTGTATGACCATTCTCTGTGATCTACTTTTTAATAAGCAGCACAAACAAAAAAAGTGGAGGTTACAGTGTGTTCATGGTGGCAGGAGTTGAAGTTTTAAGAAAAGTACCAAATATCACAAGGTTTGTGATAAAATCATGAAAGTTGCCATCACTATGTGAGGTCAGGGGAGAGTGCTTTCCTCTGATTTGTTTACTAGTACTGTGTTCCTAAATTTTTTGGGTGCAGCACATGATTTTTCAGAAGTAATGAATGATGCAGCCTGGACCTGGACCTCTCCATAGGATCATGTATTGAAAATGGGCCCAAATACTGGGCACACACGGGTTTCAGCCAATTGGGTCTGGACTCAATCTAGTCACTGTTTCCAACTGTTGTGTACACAATATGTCCCCAGGGTCAAATCTCTCTTCTGAGCCTTTCACTGGGATATGGGACTCTATAGTCCAGCAGCCATATATCCCAGAGTATCAGTCTCAGACCAGCTGAGTCCTGTAGTGGCTTATAGATGTACTTTTTGGGCGTGTCCAGACCCTGGGTGTACAGGTAGATCCCAGAGCCTCTTTTGGTAGATCCTGGGTTGGGGGGGAAAGCTGGGCATGTGCACTTGTGCACACCCACTGCCCCCAGCCCCAGCAAGCCAATCTGTGGGGGAGGGAAGGGGCAGGGGCCAGATTGAGGTCCCCGTGGTGAGCGGCTGACTGTGGCCGGCCAGGAGCAGGGGAAGGTTAGTGGGGCCCCAGTCCGGCCAGGTGGTGGGAGGATTGGAGCCCAGGGAGGCTCCTCCAGTGGCGCTTGGGGCTCCCTCCCCATCTCTGCGGGGGCAGAGGCGGCTGGGGTTGGTGCCACTGTGCCTCAAGTCCTGCTGCAGCTGGCCACGTGCAGGCGCAGCTCAGCTCAGCAGCAGGGACTCACGTGGGGGTGGCCTTGGCCCAGCCGGATCTGGGAAGATCTGGTCGTCCAAGGGTGTGTGGGGGGCGCTCCCACCGCTGGGCACAGCTTGGTGGAGGCCCTGGCAGCCCGTGCCCCTCTCACCTGTGCTCGGGGTGCAACAGGCAACCCACAGCAGCAGCCACCTTGTCCCCAGCGCAGGTTGGGGGGCATGGGCCCCTGGGTTCTTTGCCACGCTGCACCCAGCGGCAGGGAGGCCCCCCCCCAGCGCCCACCGGACCATGGAGACTTTCAGACCCAGCCAAGCCAGGGCCCAACACCACCTTTCTCTGGCTGCTGGGCAGGTACAACTCAGTGCAATTGCAGCACAGAAGGGGGATCAGGCCCAGCTGGATTTGTACACTCCATGGTCCAGGGGAGCATGGGGCAGCGGGCGGAGGGAAGTGGGGCAGGGCGGGGCAGGGCAGGACAGGGGGGCGAGGCAGCCAGGGGGACACGGTAGATCCTGGGGTGACCTTTAGTTCCAAAAAGTGATCTTCACCATAAAAAGGTTGGAGACCAGTGCTCTAATACCACGTTTTCTCCCAATCTGTGGTTTGTCAATTTTTCAGGCTGGATCAAATCCATTTTGCACTCTCCTTTCCTGCATATTTTTCTTCTCTGTGATGCATGTTAGCCCTCCCCCACCTGCTACAGGGCAACACCTTCTGTTAGACCCTGTCGCTAAACATGAGTTATACTGGGAATTTTCCCTTTCACCCAGTGATGCTCACCCTACCGGCTTCTGTGCAGAAGGCCCATTGTTTGTGGTGCCAAAAGTTGAGGGACAATCAGAATCAGCTGCCTTAGACTGGCTTGTTAGTGGCTGTCCTTCACCAATGTCAAATGTCAGGAATATTTCATTAGAAAGGGACTGTCCACAGGGCACTAAAATAAATTGCCTTGAACAAGTTTTGACATGTTCAGCACTAATGCAAAAAGGAGATTCAAATTAAAAACAATTCACAATTTGATGCAGACCTGTTTCACACTATCACAGAGCTCCTGATGAATTTGGGTCATTAGTGACAGTTGTGAAACTTTGGGTTTGGCTTACTGCCACCTTTCAAGTTTTATTTTGCTCTAACTTTGACTGAAGTATTAAGTACTAGCTGGTCCAATGGAATGTCATACCAGTAGATATTGTCAATACTTGCAGCTTAAGAGAGAATGCCAGAGGCAGAGCTATTTCTAAAAAGCTGTTTGGTCACCAATAAGTAACATGTTCTGTATTGGTAGATTGGTGTGATTTTTGCCATGCAAAATTTGTGTGTTGGCACAGCCAAGAGCAGGTGTCTGACTGGGGGTAGGGCAACTGT